GGAAACTCACTCAACGCCATATACTTTAGGAGAAACATATGGAGTTATTTCTTTTGATATATCATAGTCTGAATTCTCTTTAAGTAAATTTTGCAATATATAGTATATATACAAATATATCTAGCATTTTATCAAAGCTTGTAATATTTTTTATTTGTTTTTAAATGCTGGACCACTATTTATACCAATTTTCAAGTTGTACAGTGTTATCCAGTCTAAATAATCATATACTACTTCTACTACATTTATTACAGAAAACGTTTTCAAACGATTGCCTTAAGGTCAATTTTATTGATGTACCAACACAAATACAAATAATATGTTGGTTTGTATGTTGGCTAAAGCTTTAGAAATCTTTTGTAAACAATTTATGATTCATTCTCAAAAATTTAATGGCTGTAATACAATCCAAAATGCTTGCCCAAATTTTACTGCCCTGCATAATTCGTATTATTAAAGCCTCCGTTCATTTTATTCTCCATTCCAGGTTGACATCCATGATATTGTATCTCGCTATCTATGGATCTTTCTCAAAAATGGACTTCAGAATTGAAATCTGTATCTTTCAACTAGTTTATACTGAAAAAGTCATGTTGTTTGGAACGTTTGGTCGCAAATTACTCTGCTTTTAATATTTAGATTTAGAAAATTATAAATAGGGGGTGCTCTCTCCTTGATTAGCCTAGCTACTGAGAGAGCCCCTCCTTAAGAAATTCCCCTACATACAATTCTTTTGTCTTCTTGATGTAATAGCATATATTGTTTCTTTTAGATTTCTTGTGTAGTATTTATCTTGTATTAATTAGTTAAGCATGTTATATTTAATTGTATTTAAATTTTGTCGTTTTAGATGTAGTGGGATTTCAAAATTATAGGAAACTGAAACTGAAACAAGATATTTCTTTAAAAAAAATTCACTACAGCAACAAATTCCATTGGAATGTATAGGCAAAGCTAAATCTTAAAAATGGGTTAATTCGCAGTCTGACGGCTCAAACAACTTGAAATTTTCAGTACAGACTAATTTCAACATGACGATTTCAATTCTACGATCCATATTTGCCAAATGTGAACATAAAAATTGCTTGGATCAGAGAATTTTGAAAAAAATTTGATGTGCACTGAAATTTTCGCCGGTGTCACTCGAAATGTTTTTTTTTAAATTCATATTTTTGCTAAGACTTCTACTGCTAAACTCAAATTTTATGCTGTTTCATGGTTGCTTATTCGTAATGGATATTTTACAAAAAAAATGATAAAAACCCTTTCGAAAAGACTGTACATTAGACTTACCGACATGCTTTTGGCAGAACGGCGTCAAGTCATAGACTTTCCCCAGGAAAGACACCCACAAATCCTTCAAGGTGTTATGGACACTTACTTCATTCGGCGTATAGTATTTCGGTCTCGCCATGAAAACATGTAAACGGATGGAACAACTTTTAAAACTTGTTGTTTAGGCTGCAAGAAGCATATTTGTTGTCATGGGGAGAGGCCTCTTTTTGAACTAGTGCAACAGCAGCAACAGAATAAGAAATTTCAAGCATGGCGGATGTCGACGAAGCACGTTTTATGGATGCAGATGAAGACATTGTAGCTAATGTAAGAGATGAGCCCAGAAAAACAATTCCCACGAAAGGAAAATATGCAGAGAAAAAAAAGGCTGCTGTTGAGGTAATTTTCTGAGTACTGAGAACTTTTGAATTATTGAAAATTGGCAATGATTTGAATGAAGCTTTTTTGTGTGGTTGTGGGCCTATTTCTTCTTCCCTTGAATCAGTGGTGGCCAGTGGCGGCGCCAAGAGGTGTTATGGGGGGGGGGGGGGAATTACCCCCCCCCCCCTTTTTTGAAAATATGGTCTACATATTTCTTCTAAAAATGGATTAAAAAACGCTGGGTAGGAGTAGATCAAATTTCCTAAGGAAAATTATCTTCGTACAAATCACTGAAACGAGGCAAAAGGGGCGTGGTCCCACTGACCGCGCCCGTTACCCTCCCACTCTGTAATAGCTGGCGCCACCACTGGTGGTGGCGCTAGAGAGGGGCAAAGGGGGCTACTGCCCCCTTTGGAGAAAGTTGGCCCTCGTCAGAAGGTAATCTAAGAAAAGATTTTAATGTACTCGTATCCTAGTAGCAGGCAATTTGAATGCATTTAAGGTCGCTGGAAGCCAGATTTCAAAATATTCAAATTTTTCATCTCTCGATAATTTTGTGATCATAACGTCATATTGACTAGAAATATTTTTATCTAAAAGCTTGAGTATAAAGGTATTTATTTAACTTAATAATCTAAAAGGATAAAATTCCTATTTTGCAAAATAATTTTTTGTTTTGAGGCCGCTTTTGCAAATTTCATAAACAGCGTTCTGTTTAGGCCCTGACTACTGTTTACAAACTTCATTCGTGCTTCCGAACGCCAGCACATATTTATTTGAAATTCTTTGCATACATTGGAAGAACAATTGATCTTTAACATTATCATGGTGTCCCATTGGTTAAATCTCCTAAGCTACTGAAATATTCAAATTTTAACTTTAACACGTGATTGTGATATCAAAATTCTCGAGAATCACTTCCAAACCGTAAACAGGACAAACAACAAGGAATAAACTGTTTATTTCTTGTTTATATTTTCAAGTAGCTGCCTTTGGAGAGAAGTGCAAGCAGAGGAAGAAGGGTTGCGCAGTGGCCTAAAGCTTCATTGGGACTCAATGTGCATGATTTCATACAAAAAATGTCTCAAAAACTCAAAATTGATTTCAATAATTACTTTTTTGGAGTAAATCTTGAAGAAACAAACTTATTTCTCTGATGAAATAACAAGTTTTGATATTAGAGGTCAATAAATGTTCCACGGAATACCTTGACCAAAATTCCCATTGTTGTAATTCTAACTTCAAACAAATTTTCTTATTGTTGATTTGCTCGAATATATCAAATTGCAGGCATGAAATGATAGGTAGTTTAATAAAGAATCTGAAACATTTGACCATTTTGCGATATCTAAACTAAATCAAAAGTTATAGGCAGTAATGCGCACAGTGGTCGGAGAATGATTTAAGCCTCATTTGAGTTCTGCGGTGCAATAGCTGTGCATGGTGAAGTCACTCCAAAGATCTGTGACAGGCTCTCAGCCTTTAGCCCAGTTATAGTTATATATACAGTATCAGAATTTTGTAAAATTTTTCAAATTTCTTGGCAGTTTATTCATTGAATTAAATAATTCCAGTATCAAGACTTTTGGTGTAAGAGGTCAACGAAAACTGTTTACGGCCAAAGTGATGTTTAGTAAACTGTTCATGGTGCTTGAAATTTTGGACAATGCCTTTTCAAAAGAAATTAATTGTAGGTAATTTTATTAGGGTAGAGGTATATGCATGTGTGTCCTAGAGATGTTTAGGTAGTCAATATTTTATGGAAGAGTTTTTTCTAATTTGCATTCTTCTCTGAAAGCATTTGTAGGAGTCCATAGAGCAGTCCTATTACTGTGAAATTTTCATTGCTAAATTCTTATACTTTTATCATATTGGGTAAAATCCATTGGGGGCATTGGCAAATTGACAGTCTTAGTACCATATTTGAAATATTTCCAAACATCTCCTGTGTCCTACCAAATTTGTCATTACTAAGTAAGGGTGCACATCAAAACGTTTAGTGTTAGTAATCCTACTTGGAAATTCTACAATATCATCAAAGAACTGCAACTTTCCCCTTAAAGGATGATATGAGGAGAAAAAGTTATGCAATATAACACTATTTCAACTTTCAACATACCCCCTTCCCAGAGTACTGGGCCTGTTTTAAGTAGTGCTCTTACTTACAAGTGGTGCCCAGCAAGGCACTTGTCCCACCTGCCATGCTCAACATGGAGCAAAATTTTTTGCAGCTACAATAAAAAGGCCATTTGTGTCTGCAAGCTATGACCAAAGGGCCATGTACACAATTTTTGCCATCAACCAATCAAGCCACACTTTGGTTGCGATTCATTCCTTACAGGAGGGGCACTGTCACAACCAGTAATGGGAAAATATTAAGTCATTTTATGAAATAATAGGCTTGCCCCCCCCCCAATATTTGACCAAGTGTCCACGACTGGTCACAACTTACAAACAGCAAAGTCATAAACTGTAATTGGGTGAGGTGAAAGATTAATTAGCTGACTTTTTTTGCAAAGTGTGTACACTGCGAGTAAACCTTTAATAGCCTCAGTTTTGGCATGATGCGGCTTGCTGATTATCTCATTTGATTTTCATGGCTAAATAAATTCATGTCGGTTAATAAACCCAGAAAATCGGCCTTTCCTCGGATTGATGTAATTAACTGATAAGTTAAAACAGCAAAAGGTTTTAGGATAAAATCTTTATATAAAAAGATAGAAAGCTACTATGGTGTAGACAGAACGAGCCCGTTTTTGCCCTTGGACTCCATTAGTAATATAATGTTATCTGTTTGCAAGTGGCACTGATAGGGCAACGTTTATAGTCATTTGCTGGCCTTTTTGGTTTGCCTATTTCGATCCACAACTAGGCATAGATATTTCCTAGCTTGGGTTTTTGATCTATGTTCTGACGTTTTATACTCTGAAAGGAGTATCAGTGGAAAAGCTGAAATATGTTTCAAAATGTTTGTTTTTTCAAAGCCATTTTTAGAATAACACTGTTCAATATATAAATGGAATTGATAAATTGATAAAACTCGAGAGGTTATGGAGAAAATTTCTAGAGTTGAAGCTAAATAGTCAATTCTTCAAAACCTGCCCTTATAGATGGTAGGCTCTCGTGGTGGTTAGCTTTATATGTGGGCACAAACAAACATGTCGACCATCAATAGCGGTTGTACCACTACTCACAGCTAAATTTTGTACATTAGTGTGCTAATTTGAGATGATGCTGAGGTGATGTTTACTTAGGTTGCATTGTATTTTGTTGATTTACAGGAAGATGATTGGTCTGGAAACGACGACGAATACGAGGAAAACAGCGACGATGCGTATGATGACTGGGAGGACAATTACGGATTCAAAACCGGCAATGTTACAACAGGAGTGGTTCATAAAAGTGGAACTTCACAAAATAAGCTTAAAGCAGCTCTGCAACCGCAGGAGAAACAATTCGGCAAGTTTTTGAATAAAATAAGTGTCAGTGAGTTCGTTGGTCCAAGAGAAGGTGGTAGTTTGGCTAAAGGTGGAACAAAGAAAGAATTTGAAAGGCGTACCAAAGACAAAGCAGACAGAGCAACTGTTGAACAAGTACTGGATCCCAGAACGAAGATGATTTTGTTTAAATTACTAAACAGAGGTTTTATCAAAAGTATTAATGGATGTATCAGTACAGGGAAAGAAGCTAATGTCTATCACGCTAGTGGGCCTAATGGTGAAGACAGAGCTGTTAAAATTTACAAGACTTCAATATTGACATTTAAAGACAGAGATAAGTATGTTACAGGAGAGTTCAGATTTAGGCACGGGTATTGCAAGAGTAACCCACGGAAGATGGTTAAGACATGGGCAGAAAAGGAAATGAGAAACCTTACTAGAATGTTCAACAATGAAATACCTTGCCCAGAGCCATATTTACTGCGAAGTCATGTCCTTGTTATGGATTTCATTGGCTGTAATGGTTGGCCGGCACCTTTATTAAAAGACTGTGTGATATCTGAATCAAAATCAAGAGAACTCTATATGCAATGTGTACGCCTAATTAGGGATCTGTATTGGAAGTGTAAATTAGTCCATGCAGATTTGAGTGAGTTCAACATGCTTTTTAACCAAGTCATTGACAAGCTTTACGTCATAGATGTTTCCCAGTCAGTTGAGCATGACCACCCAGCTGCCCTCACATTTCTTCGCAAAGATTGCACAAATATCAATGACTTTTTCAGAAAACATCATGTAAGTACAATGACAGTGAAAGAGCTATTTGAGTTTGTCACAGATCCTACAGTTAACGATGAGAATATTGAGGAATACTTGGAGAAAATCCAAGAGAAAGCTGTTAATCGCAGTGTAGAAGACGTCACTCAACAAGATTTGGTGGATGAAGAAGTATTCAAAAATGCATTCATACCAAGAACTTTAGATGAAGTAATAGATTTTGAGCGGGATGCTATGAAAGCACAAGATGGCACTTCCGAGGATGTTTATTACCCTATGGTGACTGGATTGAAACCAGATCTATCTGGAGCCAAGGATCATCCCAGCATACTTGACACAGAAAGGGGAGATGAAAGCAAAATGGAAGAGATAGAAGATGAAGATATGTCTGATGAAGCATCAAGTGCTGAGTCAAATGATGAAGACACTGGCAGTGGTAACGAAATAAAAACAGAGGAAGAAATGTCAAGAAAAGAACACAAGAAGATAGTGAAAGAACAAAACCGGGAAAGAAGAAAGAACAAAATGCCTAAACATGTGAAGAAAAGGAGGGAGAAAATTGGAAAGACAAGAAAACCTAAGAGATAAGTGTAAAATGTTGCGTTTCTAAGTTTGGACGAGAAATAAAAATTATCTGGTTTAAATTAGAGAACTAAGACCCCGTTTACACTGTCCCGTGCAAGTTTGGAACCGTGACAAAACTGTCGCGGTTTGCCCTTCCGTTTACGCTAGCACTGTGGAACCGAGACGATTTTGCTCTGCTATCCGGAACAGTTTTGTTCTTGCTTTGAAGGCGAACGAATTTTATACCTTCACGGTTCCGTTTTTAAACGGGACAATGTAAACACCTATCCGAGACAATTCTGTCGCAGATTCACAATGAGGTCTTTTGTATGGCTGCTTCAGGTAATCGAGGCTTTGATTTTGGCGGATTTTTTAGACAAGGAAATTGTCAAGATGGCTGTTGAAAATTCAATCTACGTTTTCAAATTCCTTATCGCCATTTTAAAACAAGTGGCAGCGATCGATGGGCTGAATATCTAGCAGCCATTTACGATGGTTGCCACCGTCTTTGACAACGCTTTTCAACTCTTAAGGATAAAGAAAAATTCTGAAGAAAAGAAGACGAATTCGAAGATTCTGGACAGTTTTGTCTCCGTACTTATTTTTCATTTTCTCCCAGTCCAAGCCTTGATTGCCTCGATTGACGAAATATAGCCTCCTTTAAACAATGTTTGACCATTGAATTTACGTCGTACCGGTACAGTGTAAACCGAACGACTAAACGGAACAATTTGGAACAGCGACAGTGTAAACACTTGCGAACCGTGACGGTACAAAATTATCCCGGGACAGTGTAAGTAACCAATTTGATCAAAATATTTCACTTATTATTATGAAAACAATCTTCCTGTACGCTGATCTCAGAATTCATAGTTTCAATTTAACATTTTTCTTCGTGTTTCTTTTTGAGTTTACCTATCTGCTTTGGGACTATCTTAAATGCGATACTGGTATTCATACGTTAATTTTGGTCTCAAAACTTTCATGTTTTCATTACTTTCATTACGTTGTGGGCAAACAAATCAGGTAAGGTTTGCGATGGTCTTGCAAATATCCCCGATGAACTTCGTTTATGCCAGCATTAAAGGGGAGAAGTTGATAAATTTTATCCTGGTCAAATTGTTCCAGCGTATTTAGAAAATAAAAGCACAATCGTCCAATGCGAAATCAGCAAAGTTTTAATTTGCAAAGAAAGATCGTTGTTTTAATAAAATCAATTGATGAAATCGAAGAACATAAATATAAAGAAACCTTGAAATATTTGTTTAGTGAACTGCCTTGTTTAAAATGCATGTTTATGTCTTGTACTGTAAAGCTTTGTTTTTCTTGTTGGAATAAACTCTTGAACTCTGCTGCCTCTCCTCTCGAGTCACGTGTTATGAATTCCACATGACCAAAAGCGAAAATCTTGTCTGTTTTCACCAAAAGCATTTGGAAGAAGTTTCATGTAATCAAACTACTTGTTGCAAACTTCATGTATCAATCAGAAAAAATTATTTCCGGCTTTTTTAAAATTTACCATCAACCTCCGATTATCTATTTATTATTCTCTTTATTCAGTAAGAAAAACAACTGCCATGAGACAAATATTAAGAAAAAGGCATATTATTTTCATGATCACAGCGAAAAGTATTCTGTATCGATAAAACATTATTGTAAAAAAGAAGAGATTGATCCGAATTCGAAATATATAATTAGAATTCGAATCAAACTAGTTTGCGAAAGATCGTTGAAAGTTGAAAATGTCCATATAAGGGCACTTGAAGGGTGTTGTCGCACGTGTCCACAAGCCAGAATGAACCTGATTGGTTAAAAAAACCAATTCGATGAAAACCAATCAAATCAAGAACTGTCTTGTTCTAACCAGCCTTCTAAGTCCTGATTCACATATGGCGATTTTCAAATCCAGCAAACAGCAACGCAAAACCAAGTTTTAAATCTTTAAAAGCTAGTAGAAAAAGTCGAAAAAGAAGGAGTTTTTGTAAAAAATCTAAACGGATCTTTTTCTTCTCTTTTGTATATTTCGACGAATTAGCTCTGCAACAGCTTCATTGACTTTGCTTTGATATGGAAGCCATGTCTAAAAGAAATATCCAATTAGAAGTGTCTTTACATAGATACTGCTTGTGCTAGAAAAAAGCAAGTAAAGTGGAAACATGGCTTGTTTGGGAGACGAGCGAGCGTAAATCTTCAAATGAGTGAGGCAACCCTCCGTCCTGGAGTCAGAGCATGCATTGTAATAACTTCGTTCCATGCGCATTTGAATCTAGGACGGAGTGTTGCCAAACTCATTAAAGACTTTCTCTTGCTCGTCATCCTAAGTGCATAAACGTCGGGTAATTGCTAAATGTAATTAGAAATTTATATCAAGGTGCAGATCGAAGGAAAACAGGTTGCAGGCCCAGAAGTGAGTTGTTTTACTAGTTCAGTGGCATTATGAGTGATAATTACCTTAAGAAGCTCTCTGATCTCTTCAACAGTTTTGTTTTTAAGGCTAGTCCCAGCCATTAATTTTGGGTGAATGTTCCTTTCCTGTCCATATTCGTTAAGAGAGTTTTTCGGGCCAGTCTGAGAAACCTCTGAACTTTGTACCACCATGTTATTACTCTGTTTGCAGAAAAAATCATTGATAGTTGAAATATGGTGAAAAATTGAGATGCACAGGAAATAAGAGTTGATTTGTTTTTTTTTATGACAAAAATTGACAAATTTCCTATGTCAACGTAAAAGCAGGACAAGATAGATATATATCGTTTCGTTGGGTATGTCTCAGTGCATCGAAAGGACTGCAGGCTGGGTATTACTAGATTCTCAACTACTACGTGTACTGTATGCAGTTGCGCAGTCAAGCTACTGTAATGTCATGTCGTAATATTTTATCGTATTAAACACCGTATATGCACCGTATAAAATTATAAGTATGTTTAAAAACAGTAATTTAACCATACGGAAACCGTTTTTTTGTCATTCGTTATTTATTTGTTTCGATCAAAATGCAGAATGCAGAAGGAAAACAAAATGTAAGTAAAATAAGACTCTGTACTAACACTAAATAACGAAAAATGGTACAGTTTAAACGGTCAAAATTTCAATATATTTAGAAAATTTTTTAAAAATGTAAAACGACGAACGTCTTTCAGTTTCAAATCTCAATATTTTGTCAAAATATACAGAACCAGCTCGCCGGTTAGCCATCTCATGGATCTGAATAAGATGCGCTCGAAATAATTCATATTATTAAAACAAACATATTTGAACATAGCATCGCAAGTAGAAAAAAAGAAGAGCTTTCAGCTTACGCTGAAACACTAGAAAATCATTGCAATGACGCTAGACTTCCGTAATGATGCAAAACCAGATTGGTATGCTGTTGTATTACTACAGAGAGTGATTGATTGGCAAAAAGATTGGCAGAACCCAACACCCATCGTATCTTCTCACCAACTGTATGAAAAAGGTTGGTCTTTCCATTGCAACAGATCTTGAACTTTAAAAATAAGAAGACTACTTAGGCCACAAGTCACACAGAAAGTTTCTTCTTACTGCAAAATTGGCACAGGATATTAAATGTAAGCAACCTTTTTCCCAATACTGTTCATTGAGTATTGAACTTCAATAGCGCTCAATGGAAAAAAACGGCATCTTGTTTAACATAACGCCGAGAGGGACTGGTGTTCGATTTGGATTTGAAGTCTAATATAAAATCCAATTCACTCACGTTTGCGCCATTAAAGATATTCAAGTACACAGCTGGTTTTTCCCCACAACCTCTGCTGCATCCACAGTCATCTGTACATCCTAAAGAAATGGTAAAAGAAGAAATATTATCTAGTGTTTCAAAGGATTAGCTGGATACAATAGTCTATTACGTCCATTCTTGTTGAAAAGGCAATTAGAGCCGGGGATGTGAGCAAAAACAGTCATTAAGGAACATTTGAAGCCATAAGTGTACGAAGAGGAGGCTTTCATATATAACTCGCTACGTGACAGCAAAGATCTTTGGTGACAGCAAGTGGTTACTTCAATGAATCTATTTCAAGAACTTTTTTCGTACCCTCAAAAGTTACAGAATACTCACCGCAGTCCCGGCAATCTTTGCATTTGCAGTCATTCTTTCCCTTAGTAGTCGCTGAGGTAGCTGGGGTCGTTGCCAGGGTTGCTGCTTGGGTGGTCGCTTGGGTCGTTGCTAGGGTCGTTGCTGGGGTCGTTGCTGGGCTCGTTCGTGCTTTGTCAGTAAAAGTTATCACTTTTGGTGTAGCTGTTTCTATACAAAGAATGATGCTACTCAGTTACTTTCAGATCTTACTGAACTGCTTGTTTTCTATCTATTTGAATAGCATAGAATGGCTTGTAGTTTAATGCTAAGTTTTCCTGACCTCGACCTATACTGTCTATTAAGCTGAATTTCGTACGAAGATAATCGAGTGGCTTTTGTTACAACTAAATGCTTGCTTCTGCTACATTTCTAGGTAATTGGCTGGCTTTAATGTTATTTATATTTCTCCATCATATGAAACATGTTGCAGACTTATTGGACAGAGAACCCTTATACCCATTGATGCTAGGCAAAAATCTCTGGATATGACTTGTAAAAGAATGGAGCAAACGTACTCAGCTGTCCTCCTTTGCATGCAAACTCGGTAAGATTCTTGACAAATTCATCTGTGACGAGTTCATCGAATCGCTTCAGCATGTAAACCTGGTTAGGTGAGCCTGTAATCAATTCCAGCTGAGTTTTGTTCACTGCACCACCTACACCAATGGCATATATGGTGATGTTCCTGCTTCGAAGGCGTCTTGCTTCAACTTCGGGTTCAACCACGATTTCGTTTCCTACATCGTAATTACCAGCAGCTGGAAGCTGTTTCCCATCGGTAACGAGAATCAAGATATCTTTTACATTCGGTCTATCTCCGTTCTTTGCAGCAAATAAATCTTCTCCAGCGACTTTGAGCGCCTTATCTATTCTAGTTTGGTACCCATATAAGGGCATCTTTTCGACATCGTTTCTAAACTGTACAATGTTATTTGTAAAGGGAACAAGCATTTTCACATAGGATGCAGAGCTAAAAAGAACGACACCTGCTCGAGAACCTTGGTTGAATCCAGCAGCTGATGCTACTCTTTGGACAAAGAACTTCTCCTTGGAGTAATATTGTTTGATGCTTTTTGAAGAATCAATCAAAAACCCAATGTCAACTGCCTCCCTGCATATATTTGATTTTTCATCAGCTAGAACAAAGATGAATAAAATTGCATTTTTAACCAGCGACTCTATACATTTTTGGCAATGAGTACTTTGTGTAAGAAGGGCACATTGTGTAAGAAAACAACAATAATACTTGTTTGAAAATTGTGTCGTTTGTTCGTATTTTGACTTTTGCCTTAAAAATTCTGTTGTTAAAATATTAAAATATTTATGCACTTGTCTGTTTATCATTAACTTGTTCTAACTGTAGGGATCGGACATAAAGTATTTACTTTATGGGGGTGGACGATTTTCCAAAAACTTGGCAAAACAATCAAAAGCCCATCCTATATTTTTATTTTATCTTTGTGGCCCAATAGCAATATCGGGATATTTTTCATGACCCCATTAAACGCGTCATTTTCAGAACCCACTACCAGTGAGCATCATAAACTGATTTTTGAGCCAATTTCAAAGGGCGTCTTTGCCGCCGTCAGTTACAACAGAATGTAAGACTTGTAGAAGTCTGAAGTTTGACGTCATGAACATATATTTTTAGATTTTTCGAATTTTGACTACATAACCGAAAGGAACACCATTAAATGCTTCTAAAGATGCAAAATAAATCAAACATGTCGATAATCTGGTTTGATATGGCAAATAAAAGATTGAAAGTTATCTAACTAGCAGGCTATCTAACTTCTTGATAAAGTTATGAGATGAACAGAAGTCAAATTACAGAGGCTGGATTGGGAAAGAGCTTATTTTGCCAAATCTCTGCCAATTCGTAACATATTTAACTGATTTTCAACAACTAGAAGTGATTCATGGGGCTCTAAGGGATTCATGAGAAGTTTTAGTGATGTCATAGCTTAAGAACTCTGTGAGATTGGTCCTTAAGAATAGAATGGTCAGACTAACATTGAAAGGATCATGAATACTTTGTGAAGGATAGAAACCTTTTTTATAACCGTTTTTTATATGAGTTTTGAGCCACTAAAGTCGGAACCTATATTCATCTGTAAACATTTTTCTTCATTTTCAAGCTACACTGAATATGTCCAAAGTGAAAGCTGTGTAAGGTCCCGTTTACACTGCTACGGATCACTTTTTGTTCCGTATAAAAAGTGATACGGATTGGCCTTCAGATTACACATTATTTTTTATACGGCCCCACGAAATGGGCACGACATTTTTCATAACTCCATACAGGTTTGACAGAATTTTTCATGGCCCACCCAAATATCGTCCACCCCCATAAAGAAGCAGATACTTTATGACCGTTCCACCAAACACATCGGAAAAAACAATGTGATAAACAAATAGCTATGTTACAACTTGACTTACCAGCGAGTATTAACCGTAGGCTTTCAGCATTAACAGAAAGAGGGGAAAATTCAACTCCTGTAGATAGAAAAATGTTTTCATTCAGAGAGATTTTAAAGTCAGGAAAGGTTTTAAAAATACGGAGGTTCACAAAACGTGAAAGAAACAAAGGAAACTTCCGCACACACTCCAAAGGTAAGTGTTGACCAGTTGTTCCAAATCATATACATTTAATAGGTCAACATAAACTAGGAGGATCACTACAAGATATGTCGAGCTAAAATGTATTCAATGCTCAATTAATGCTTGAACTAATCAGGTCCTATAGATATACGGATCAATTAAAACTATTTAAATACAACTTTCAGGGCCTCCGACGAAGGGGGGGGGCCGGGGGAGGGGTCTTGCCCCCCACTTTTTGCAAAACAATAGAGTTTTTTTCAAAATCTTTTGTTATGAGTGTTAAATTTTCCCGTGGCCCCCCCTTCCACTTCTCAACCTTTGTCGGAGCCCATGACTTTGTTTAAAACAGTTTTAAATACAACTTTCGATATCACAGATCACTAATTTTAGAGGTTAGATAGATAGATAAACTTTATTTACAGAGGATAAACCTGGTGAGCCTAACAACTAATCTTCCCCGGGGTTTTTACGTTCTCTTGTTGCCTATTGTGTTGGTTGTTGGTTTCTTTACTATGATTTAATCTCATTCCCATTAATGAAGGTGGGTTGCCCTTTAGCAATGCTGAACTTCAAAGAATCTTCAATTTAAATAAATAGAAAATTAACAAATTAGTAGCAAGGAATATCTTACATCAATTGAAGTCGTAAAATGAAATATGAAAAACTAATCGCAACCTAATATGCAGTAAGGATCCAAATACAAAATTTATTACTAATTTTTGTTTTTAATTGAGGTTTCAAGGCGTCTTTATTAAATGAGTGCTTTTAAAATATTCACTTACGTAGACTTGTAGCGATTTCTCCAGTATCTGGATCAAAAGTTTCTTCAGCTAGAACAAAAGTGGTGTAAGAAATGATACATTTTCCATTTTTTTATCTGCCAAAGTATTTACAAATTTTTCAGTAAAAATGTTGATAAGAATTGCTAGGAAGCTAGTTTTAGTGATTTTATAAAGGAATGAAAGAATAAGGCAATGAAAATCGTCTTCAAAAAATTGCCCTATTTTTGCAAATCAAAGAAATTGTCTTTTGAAGTTTGATCATGATATGCTTTAACGAACAAGTTGCATTTAAACCATGCCTACTCTCCTTCCTTCGAAACGTCGGTTAATCAACACTGACCAATTTTTAGGGGTTGTAAGGGGCTAGATGCTTGATACATAGCTCTTTTGATACAGCTTGCTTCTTATAAAGGTCTTTACGCCCCTAATGTCCTAAGCAATTTAAGTAGTGAGATAATCATACCGAATCGGTATGTTCCATTGATAAGTTTACTGATCGTTTTTAGGGCAGGCATGGCACTACCTCCATCTTTTACCGGGAACGCGCTGTTTTTTTCAAGAACAATGTCATTCAAATATTCTTTTTTGCCATCTCCCATCGCAACCACATACAATGTGATACCGTAGTCGTGAAGGTGTTTTACAGCGTCTTCTGTTGGTAAATTATCTTTGCCTGGGCCATTGTTCAGAACCAATATAACAGAGTTACCAACGCTGAATCTGGCACCGGAGCTTTCTGAAATTAAAAAGGGAAGCTACTTTATGTATAAGAGCTGGACTTACAAACTAGGGAATCAGGAACACCATCAGGGTTATAATGAACCTCATCTCTGTTTTATCGCCGTTCTTAAAACTTGCTGCTCTATCCTCTTTATGATTTTGCCTTTTACTTTTTTTCTAATCTTTCCTTGATAGATCTAAAAAAAAATTCTGAGTATTGTATGTTTTTTTCTTGAAACCTCTTTTAGAATTAACACCTTACCTATTATTAAGAAACACGGTGAATAATACCGGTAGAGAAGGCTAAAAACTTTTCGGAGGAGTTGAACAGGTTAAAAACTAAGAAGGGGGCGATTTTTGCATGGCTTACATTTGGGAAAAAATCGGGGCGGGTGGTGCTAAAATCCCTGCCCATGGGGCGAAAATCCCGAGGGGGGGGGGGTTCTGGGGGTTGCAAAACGTTCACTTGTAACCTATAGACCAAGTTTTGCTTCGAGATCTGAATGGCACCACTCAGTTTTGCAGGGCAGAAGCCTTTTCATCCCCCAAACCTATTGGCCAAATTACGCCTCTGTCCCTACCTATAATCATACAAAAATGACTTAAACATGAGCAGAGGCATTTCTGGATACGTATGGAAATTTCAACCAAAAAAAGGCCCACTCACTTTTCTCGTCTGTGAACTTAAACTCTTAAAAAACTAGTAAAGTTTCTTTTCTAAACTTACGTGAGCTTAGCATTTTATAAGCAGTTTCAATTGCTGCAGCTAAATTGCTCTTGTCGTATGAAACATTCAGTTTTCCGGAGCTGGCTTGTTGTTTTGCTTGCTCTTTGATGATATTTAACGCCGTATTAAAGCACGGTGCATCACCATATGTGCAGGACAATGGTATCAAAGTATCAACCTTTTTCCAGACCAGAATGACACCAAGTCTGATACAGTCGTGGTTCTTCAGCTTTAGAGACCATATCAACTCTTGTAATGCCTTCTCTACATTTTCGAATTCAGTTTTCCGGAGCTGGCTTGCTGCTTTGCTTGCTCTTTGATGATATTTAACGCCGTCTTATAGCACGGTACATCACCATATGTGCAGGACAGTGGTATCAAAGTATCAACCTTTTTCCAGACCAGAATGACACCAAGTCTGATACAGTCGTGGTTCTTCAGCTTTAGTGACCATTCAACTCTTGTAGTGCCTTCTCTACATTTTCGAATTGATTCGGAGTATTGTATGCCAGTTCATAAACCATCACAACATCTTGGCGCTGAATACACTCTTGTGAATCTGGAAAGAAAATAGATATAGACTTCACAATCAAGGTCCCATGCCTAATTTGCTTTATAAACCCCCTTGTATATCAAACGTGCTTTTTATGCTGCCTCTTTACAGATTTTTTTATGCATGGTACTGGAACTTGCTGCTGTGCTCCAGTCTTGAAATCTTTTTGGGTGGGCGGGGCGACCATATCACTGAACCTCGTTCAGTTTATCAAATTTAGTGCCTGTATAAAATTTCGGTATTAAATTATCGTTTTCATCCAACTTCGATTGTTGACATAATGGTTCATGCCCTTTTTTTTGTAGGGACCTCGGAAGTCATGAGAATTGTAAGAGGAAGGAGGAAGGCTGAATCTGGTCCTTCAAATGGAGCTTACTGACAGATGATGGTGGCAATTATACAAAACTCAAAATGATATCTCAACGAGTGATAAAGGTGTTTCCAATTCAATAAAAATAATTATAAAAAAATTGAACAGGCAAGTTCAAACGTTGAAAATTGATTGAGTAAATAAAATAAATCTGAAACGTATTGGAAAAATTACTAGCAATAGAAGTACTGCAGCAAGTAATAGCAAGCCGTCTTTTTGTCAAGTGCTCCTTCAACTCCAAAAGTACGTTACAAATTCCTGATGCACTGTCGGTATGCGCGCAGAGAAGCGTAAAATAAACAGTTTTGGCATGATAAAACTTTGAACAAAGACAAGCCTAAAGCCTCAGTCAAACGAACTGAGCCTTTCACTGAGCAACGCTCAACATGCTTGCTCAGTGAAAAGTTCAGTTCAGTTCTGTGGTTTGTTGACCACTTGCTCTGCTCAGAGATGTTGGACGGCGAACCGAACCCCGCACGTACAACTGGAGGTAGCATACACTCTTTCTTTTATAAGAACCAGTAAATTTAAGTTCAGGCTGACTGTTATTAATTTTTTTTGAAAATCTGAGGCTGGATTGTTCTTAATTTGTTCTTGAATTAAGAGGCTGTAAGCAGTGCTATTGCTAGCTTTTTCGCTCTAAAGAGGTGTTCAGGCCTCATTTGCCAACAAAGTGAGTGAGACAGCCTTAATTTGCTGACAAAGTTGAATATTCACCGAAAAAGCACCCACACATCGCTAAAAATCCTCGATTTTGAGAAAAAACGTTGTTCAGAACTGCATTTTGCAGAAGCTCAGCCTCAGCTTGTTCTTAATTGGTTTTAAACTTTTGACCAGTTTTGAGGCTCGTGTTTTTATAAAATTGTTCTTATAAAGAAAAGAGTGTATGACCGCCAGAATCACGAGAACAGCTTTAAAACCCCGCGTAAAGTTACAAAACAAACAGGGCAGCTTAAAATCGGCAAAGAAAGTTCTTGTTAGAAAGTGAAGAAGTAGAACATCATTTCTACTCTTAACTACCCAGAAAGAGACAGTTTGGGGTCAGGAAAATTTACAAGCAACCTAAAGTTAAAAGTGAATGCATTCGACATGCACAACTGTGTCGGATCCCGAATTATTTTTTCAGATGTTTCAAATGTCAGCTACAAAATTCAAAGGATTATTAAAATATGTTGCTCCTCTTTTTTCTTTTGATTCGGGAATCTATGAGAACAGAACCAATTCAGCCTCCTGAATGTGTGTGTTACATTGAGTTTCATTGTAACGGGTTTTGCATTCAACACTACCGCTGCAAGCTATCGTATAAGCGGACGTTTTCAGTCAATCTGATTGGATAAATGTCAGTGAACACTGAAAGTCGCCTGAGTTCGACTGGCATACGTGTCACGGACGGCCGCCTGTCCTGTCAACGCGATTCTCAATTTATTGCCTTCGAGCGTGCACCAATTCTATCGCGCCGTGAGCGCGGCCAAGTGGAGGTCGATCTTACAGCCACTCGTCACGCTGTGATTTTCAAATCGTATTCATTCGTATCATAATGTGAAACGTTATCGATGCTTTCGTATTGTAAAAATGAACAATAATCTTAAGCAGTTTTGCAAGAAATGTTTTTTATTAGAAATGTTTCATGTTTTATATTTTGAGCATGCAAGGAACTGCAAGGTGATAAATTCGATATACTTACGTGTTTGGAGAAATAATACCGAACCAATGGATAACAATAGGGTGATGTACATCGTGCCAACTCTTGGTAATAAAAAGATTCACGTAAGGTTAGGCAGAGAGATGCGAGAGAGCAAGCCGACGTGTTCCTCGCGTGCTTCTCTTAATCAACTGACTTTTATCAGTCCAAAACAAACTTTGAAAAAGAGTTATTTATTTATCAACATAATAGGACGCTGATCTTCAACAAATGTAACGATTTATGGGTTCTTCTTAAGACGGTGACTTTGTATTGTAATCAAACCAATGGGCTAGGCCAACGGACTTAAGCCTGAACATATGTGATGGTGAAGCGCTGCCGCACAGCTTCCGACAGTACTGTGTTGTATTTGCGGAATATTACCCTACTGCGCTTGCATTGGTAAAACCATACTTTTGTAAAACAAATGTTTTAATGTATGGCCAAACAAATGCAACAATATTGATCAAACATGAGAACAAAAGCGATGTTTTACGAAAAGTTTTATGGAAATCAAACTTGGCAAATTATCATAAAACATTGTAAAACGTCGTAAAACATGGTGACCAAACGAATGAAACATATTCATGCAATGCAACAATGATATATGATGTCTTATGCCGATGTTTTATTTCGTCACTATTGGCCAGGGCTTAACACGTAGTTCACATATTTGTATGATATAACTCATTACTATAAAGTCACAAACATAATATGTTCAAATTCAATTCTGTATAATAACAAACTTTTGGTGGTACAGAACTTAAAAATGGCTTTGAAAAAAGCAAACATTATATGAACTAAATAAAAACTAAAGAGTCTGACACTCTTCAGAGTTTAAAACGTCAGAACATAGATTGAAAACTCTACGCTTGGAAACATATATACCCAGTTGTGGATCGAAATAAGCCAATCAGAATCGCGAGCACGTGACTGTACCAATCCAGGGTAGTTCTGTGGACCAAAGTTGTAGACATCCTTGAGAAAACTGAAATGAAAGCCTGCTGAATGGAGCAAAGGTCAATGGGCTAGACACCTTGCCTGAATGAACACCAAATGGGCTAGAAAAACAACTGAATGGACGTCGATGGATAGAAAAAGAACCAGAGGAAGGCCAAAACGCAGATGGAGGGACGACATCGAAGAGAAAGTAGGAAAGAGGTGGATGCAAGAGGCCCTACCCTGGGTACCAGAGCCGCAAAAATTAAAAAATAATGAGAGCTGCGGAGGCGAAGGAGAGAGAAGAGAGAAGTCTTTCTCTCATTATTTTTTAAGTTTTGCGGTTCTGGTACCCAGGGTAAAGAGGCTCAAGTTCGTCATAAGTGAAGTTATTTGTAGAGGCCATCTGCCAGCAGTGGCATGACTGGCTGAGATGATGATGATGATTATTTTAAGCAATACCCCATTTTTGGTGTGACTATAACAGGAGTGTACTGTAGTATTTCTGTTCTGACACACGCAGTGCTAAGGAGAGGGGGTCACTGGGGGTCACTGACCCGGGGGCCCATAGCTATAGGGGTCCGTCAATAAAAACTGAACTTAAAGAATTTATCAATAATAATTCAGCCTCTCCACTGTCGCAAACTGGCAATAATTATAACAATTATAACAAATTTCTAGCATGAGTGATACAAGGAAGATAGAAGCAGTAACAGAATTAACCCCGTTATGTTATCTCAAACAGAGCTAGCTGCTTTAGGTAAATTTCTAGTAAATTTCTATCTATCACTATGATTTAATCAAGAAATGACTTTCTTGCTTTTACATCTGCAAGGTAATTTTACATCTTGCATCTGCAAAATGGTCAATTATGGAGCTATCGTCAAGTTTTTTCGGCAGTATCAGTTTCTATGGACAATAAAGTCAGTGACCTAGGCCTGTTTTGACCAATGGTAGAGCGAAGGTGATTCTTTATGATTTTGAGTATACTAAATCATCTTTCAGCTGGTGCAACACTATCAGGCAAATTCAGAAACAGCCTCAATGCAATGAAATCATTGTGTTTTTTTAGGCTGTGCAGAGTTCGGCAATTTATTACCTAGGTCATCTTCCTTCATCCTTTAGTATAGCAAAAGTAAACTGAACCTTTATGGACATTAAGACCCTTAGCTACACGAGAGTTCCCAGCTACGTTCAAGTTATGTCAAAATAGGGTAGCTATTACTTCTAATGGCTATATAATACCCGACAGAAGTAATAGCAACTAGAGCAGGTTAGCCACTATAGCAATTTAGTAACCAAAATAGCCACCAGAGCAACTTAAAGGCAGTCTGTCCCCTGTTGTGCTCAATTTTATTTTCACGGGAGTGAAATTCACGCACCGCTGAGCTTGATCGATAAATAAACGATTTGAACCAATCAAAGACAACTTTGATTCCAGAGCTTTTGAATCAAATGGCTGTGTTCCCGTTGTAGTGAAGCTGTGGCTAGAAAAATTTGGTTCCCTGCTTGGTTTCTGCGACAGATATGTCAAAAGGGAAAACAAATGCTTCCATTATCATCATTCAATTCCAGTAATTAAATCTTCTTGCCATTTCCGATAGTCTTTTGTTCGCAGTTTCAAATGTCGTCCACTACCACAGCTAGGCCAGCCAAAGCCAGCAGCGTAATCCGTTAAGGCGGGATAAGCTATTGTTCACATTAGTCAATCATTGAGGGGACAGATTGCAACCATCCTTATCAAAAATTTTGAGGTAAGCATTGGCCCGTACCCCCTAGAAGATTCTACCGTAGGGGAAGGTTTTCTATTTACTTTCGTCCTGACCTAGGCCCTATAAATCCTCTCCGCGGCCCTTTACACACGCTGTTTTACAGTCTTATTTTGCCACCATAAATCCCCATCTCCATGCTCACACGATACCGGATTCATTTCGTATCGGATCACTTTTCATATCGGATAGGCCTTCTGTCCGGTATCGTGTGAACAGAGCTTGATATTCGTATCGGATTGGGTCAGTGAATCCGATATGAAATGAATCCGGTATCGTGTGAACAGGGCCCATATCAACACATTTTGACATTTGTTTTTCTCGCCAATTTGATGCAAGCCTCCAACTGTGATTTGAACATTATCTTGTACCAAAATATCTCTAAGATTTTAAACCTAAAGCTTCAGTATAGTGAAAGAGTTACAATGTTGTGGATTTGTACTCTTTCGTTGTTTGTTTTTGGATCTATTTATGCTGAAAGTGATCCCGGCACTCCGAAATGCGAACCCATAGTAAATCCAGTTTGCAATGCCGTCAAAATCCAAATTAGAAATGTAACGATGTATAACATGACCACGTATCCCAACTCACTTCTGCACCAAAATCAAGAGGAAGCAAGTTTGGAGCTGCAGGAATTCTATCCGTTGATTAAAGTGGGATGCTCGAAATACCTCCGATTTTTTATGTGCAGTATCTACATGCCAGCTTGCTCGCGGCCATTGGCGCTGCCATGTAGATCACTTTGCGAGGCAGCTCGAGATGGTTGCACAACACTGATGAACAACTTTGGATTTGCTTGGCCTGATCCATTTAAATGCGAAAGATACCCAAATGAAACAGAAAAGTTTTGCATCGGTGTTCCCAGAAGAGAGACAATTAAAGGTATGAGTATGTGTTCTTTATCTTAACTGAGTACTAAAGTGTGACGTCATCAGAAATTTATTTTTAGGATTTCTTAAATTTAGCCACATAATCTGAAAGAACAGCATAAAATACCTCTCAATTTGCAAAATTAGTTAGATATGTTCCAAATTGGGCGAAATATGGCCATTAAAAGACTTCCAGTTTGCTAACGGATCACTGTTGTTCTGACCTGGTTCATAAAGTTATACCAATATCAAATTACAGAGGTTTGATGGGGCAAGAGCCTGTGCTCAAGTGGCCATATCTCAGCCAATTCGTAATGCCTTTAACTGATTTTGCATATTTATTAGGTTCTGCATATTTATGATGTTTTTTGGCTCTGGGATAAAAATTCAAACATTCTAAAAGTATATTTTTATGACGTCATCACTTCGGTACTCTATAGGTTTGCTGCTTCACGACCTGGACCCTATTTTTACGCTCGGCCACAGTGTTCTCACTTTGCTTCATGTAAATTTTCTTACACTCGCACGAAAACTTCCTCAGATTTGGGAAAAATCCCTTAGATTTACGAAAACCTGCCTTCTTATAAAAGATATCGTTAAAACAATTGTTGCCATAAATTTAAGTGTCAAATCGAGTCATCCATCAACATTAAATCCGAATACTTTTGGGTGACCGATCTTTTGGACGATCAAACTGTTGGACAAAAAATTGTTCTGTAACTTTATTTGTCCGAAATCTTTACTTTATGTGTCTATAAGGAAGTATTGACTCTTTTTGCCGAACAGGCCAAAAGCTCTGTACAAGCCACTTTATCCTGGTAATTACCTAACCCGCTTTGGCGACACCTCTGGCTGCAGTGTTATACTGCCCAAGCAAACAGTAGCGTTATGCTTTTTAAATATCAGCATCATACTAGATTTTAATTACAAATAGCCAATATTTTGATTATACTATAAAGAAAATAAATTGGTCAGGCTTCCCACACATGTCTAAACCAAGGTTTGAGTGAGTATGATAGTGATTGAAGTCACTTGAAGATATCACTATTGTATTTTGGACATTTGCTTATGTAAATTGGGCATGTGTAGTTCCAGGGCCGCGGAGAGGATTTATGGGCCCTGGGTCAGGACAAAAAAAGCAAATTTTTGTAGATGATGATTGCTGAAAATTCGATGGTGGCTATTTTGGTTGCTAAAATTACTATGGTAGCTCAACTGCTCTGGTGGCTATTACTCCTCTTGACCTATTTAATATAACTCGAACATGACTGATATTTAAACACCATAATGCATAAAAATGAAATTTCTTAGCCATAAAATATGCATTAGAAAATGGTTAGAAAATCTTAGAACATGGTAAACGTTGATTTACTAACTTGGACCAAAACAGATATATGACTGTTCCAATTCGATGCTGAGTGGATGCTGATGCTCAGTGGCAAAACCTTGATACCCTCTTACTAGACAAGAACAAATTTAAAGAGTTTGATGGGATGGGATCTTGCAGGGCCTCCGACGAAGGGGGGGGGGGCCGGAGGGGCCTTGGCCCCCCACTTTTTTGCAAAACAATAGAGATTTTTTCAAAATCTTTTGTTATGGGTGTTAAATTTTCCCTTGTCTTGGAAAAAGCTTTTCGTTTAGCTGAGGAGCTAAATACCCAAAAAGGTATTGAAGACCAAAATAAATCAGGAAAATGCACTTGGTATTTCAAGATCAATGTTTACATTGTTATTCTTGATCATTTTAAAGAAGAGATGAATAGGCAATGAATAGGCGATTCGGCTGTACCCGAGGAGGAAGGAAGATGAGCTTTAGTTTTGAAAACCATTTCTTAAATAGATATGCTGATCAACAAAAATTGTCTGTTAATTTACTGGAAATTTTTTTAAACCTTTTGGGTTCATACTGCTAATACTGCTTCTACCTTATTTCATTTCTAGGCTTATTTTATCATTGATACCATTATTGATAGGCTGTGATAACAGAGAATGTGATAATGTGATCATGACTGACTTATTATTTATAAATTTTATTAAGCGAGTCATCATTTATGGGCCCCTAACAACCATGGGCCCTTGGGTCAGTGAGCCCCCTGAACCCCCTTCTCCTCAGCACTGTGTAGTTCGAGGATCCTTTTGTTCGTGATTGTACGCTACGCAGTACCGCAGGAAAGACATCGTTCATTGGTCAAAAAAGAGAGGAAGATTATAGAAGAAGTAAATGGATATTGTTACCCAGGTCATCTACTAATATCCGAAAACAAAAGAACTAAGAAAATTGACGAAGAATAACTGCAGGAGGGCAAAGATATGGGCAATATTCATGAGAAAAAATAAATGCTTTAAGTTTGAAGAAAAGAGCAATGGGTTACTTATGATGCAGAGTCAAATGCCAGGTCATAAGCAACTCTGTTTTTAATTTTTTAAACCTGGCCCCTAACGTTTTTTTACAAAGGAAAAAAATTATATTGAAATGGGACACACAGATTCAGTACATTATGAAGTCACTGAAAGATGCCTAATTGCAATTTTAACAGAAAGATTCCATTGCAAAAGGCAGTCATCCTTTTCCGGGAATATATAGGGTGATGGAAAAAAGTTGTTTTGAGGGTTACCCATGAGAAAAGCACCAGAGACTCTTTTTACCCTATGCTTAGTTGTTACTAGAGTTTGTTTCAAAGAAACACGAAGAAAAAAGCTGAGGAATTGCTAAAGAATTATAAAATTTCTATATACAAATTGGTTAGAAAATTGCTAAAAACACCTTTTTTTAAAAAAATACAAGTTGGACAGAGTAAACCCATGCCCAACCTCAGATCAAGAATTAAATGAATAAACAATGATTTTTCAAAACTTTCTCTTATGTTAAAAAAAGGAGCAGGTATTTTCAGCAAATCGTTACCAGAATATTAAGATGACGAGGCAGAGGCGAAGCCAAAAAACTTTTTTGGAGAGGTACAGAAATGATTTTTGCCGACAAGGGCGTATCTCACTCTTTATGGTTGTGATCCTAAGGTAAATAATCTTATATGCTGCTTCAATGAGTTTTTATTCCAAAATCCATAACTTAGTTTGAAAGTTCGACTACTACAGAAATGTTGATACTTTAGTATGCATCGGAACATCGATCAATCATGGATCAATGCATAGTCAATAGAAAGGAGGATAGAATGGAGAGGTTTTTTTCTATCCTCCTTTCTATTGACTATGATCAATGCAGTCACTAATAATTCTATCCATCGACTAACGTGTCATTTCCAACCTAGCAAGTCTTCTTTTACGTGCAGAGAACACGGAGCCAGAGAGAGAAACAGTGTGTTGCTTGATTGTAACTGAACTCTGAACTGAACTGAGCTCATCTACAAATTAAATCAACCTACTTATATACAGAAATGAATATCTAAAACTAACACGAATGATGTGAGAAAAACAAAAGGTAGGAAGGGTGAGTAAAGGTGATGAGTAAATTGAATAGCGTGGCAAAGATTAAGTAAACAATAGGGATTAGCATATGCGTGAAATGAGAGTGACGTAGAGGATGCCTGTGCTGCGATGTGAGAATGTGGGAATGTGATGGAATGAATGAGAAAGAAAAATTGATGTAAACAGGCCTAAGTAGAGTCACTACAATACGTTACAATTGTCGAAAAAGGTTACAGGGTGACAAAAAATTTCTTCTTTTGTCCGGCAATAATTCTTTACGTGCCGAGGGACAAATTGTTGGGGGAAAGCAACTCCTATACCCCCTTTGGCGATGCTCCGGTCCCCAGGGTCTCAAATTATCCAAAAAATGCGAAAATTGAGACTTGGCAAAATTTATCTGGTTCTTATCAAAAAGTATAAACCCTATAACAGTTCCGACTTAGTAAATAATGCCATTATACTTCATTTAACAATTATGTCATTAAAATATATTAAACTTTGTGAAAAAAAAACAATAATGTCAGTAGTTGATGTAAGAGTGGCTCTTCAACGATTTATGTATTTAGATAATTTAATTTTTTTATGATGATGATGTAAATGGCAAATACAGCAGTTGTTGACACTTGTTTACAATATTTTTTCACAATAAGGCTTGTAGGCCTAATTGGCCCATCGCCAACAAAATTACTATACTTACAAGTTAACATAATTACAAATTAACAATAAATCTCAGAAAACAGCAAACAGCTAATACAAAGATAAACAGGTGTAAAAATGATTATAAGCTAGAAAGTTTACGTTACGTGGATATGCACATAGAGGACTTTCCAAAAGATTCTCGTGATTCAAAAGCCAGCGATATAAAATTAGCTATTGATATCAGACAATACGTATCTTCTTGACTCAACAACCAGATAAACGTATCACAAAGGTCAAGGGCTGATATTAATATATATTCTGGGAAATTTTGAATAAATCATAGATAACATAGAATTCCTAGCAGTCTTGTAAAGGGGACAAACTAATAAAAAAATGAATTTCGTACTCCACGGCAGTCTTATTAAAAGTTGACAATACGAACATTTTTTATCGGTCCTAGAAATAGGATTCTTCCCTATCTACCTGTTTCAATCCTGAGGTTGTGAGCACTGAGACATAGTTTTGCAAAGTTGGATCTTTTCTTTTTGCTAGGTATCAAGTCTAATTAATGCTCAAACTTATAAACAGTTTTTAAAGATGCGTATGTACAAAGCTTTTTATTGAAAATAATTTGTTCTTTCAAATTTTCCATAACTTTTGACCTAAAATGAGAAGACACTTTTGATTTCACGATAGAAGAGTTATCGGTTGTAAGTATTCTGTAGCCTGGTTCACACCAGTGAGATAACGATATTCTCACTGACGTTTCAGTGAACTTAACTGTTATCTCACTGGTGTGAACGCCTGAATTTTTTCTCACTGGAGCATTTTCAGTGAGATAGTCAGTGAGAATAATATAAAAAAGTTTTGATATTTATCTCACTGACTTTCTCACTGAATAATGGAGAACGCTAAACTCCTTGGCGCCAACACATTTTATGACGTCTGAATC